CCTTCTTTATATAAAAGACTACCAACTATGACATTTGTAAACAAATAAAATTACTCACTTAACTGCTCTGTAATTTCCTCTTTAGTATCAAGTGCATCTTCCAAATGGCCGATCTTACTGTACATCTTGTCTAATTCTGTTTTCAACTCTTGTACTTCAGGAAGAGAGCTAGCTGACCTCGATGACACTGAATCATCCTACAATAAAGAAGAAATGCACCAATCATGTTAGAAATAGACAACAGACATTGGATCAGGGAAGAAGAGAGGGTGGTATTTATTTCTAGTAGAGATGAAATTATTTTGCAAATATTAAAAAAACAAACAAAAAAAACAATGAAACTTTGAATAAATTTCATCATCATTTTGAACCATAAAGACAGTTTTTAATATTGCTTTTAGTTTTTGATCCAAAGGTTTTACAAAATCTTATCACTATTTTATGTCAAGAGAAGCAAAGCAGTCTATACAAAATAATTTTGTAGCATGGTGTCAAAAGATGACAATGGTGCTCAAAAAATTTAAATAACAAAATTGTTCAACATTTCTGCAAATATTAACAGCAGTACTGGTAATGTCACCATACCTGTAGATTTAATCCACCATTTATGATTTACATAATATAGCTCAGATTTTACTAGAAAACTTAAAATTGTGGAACAAAACGACTATTGGTAGTCAGAATTTATTAGCAAAAATAAAATAATATTGCCTAGATGTGATGATGTCATTGGAGAGTGTTAACAGACTGTAAAATCTGTATTAGAAGCCAAGCCTCTATTAAAATGGTTAAATGCAACAGAGGGGATTAAGATTAGAGCATCTACATATACATTTTTTGGTTCTCAATTGTTCAAAAAGAATGGGTACAACTTCTATTAGGGCTCATACCACTAATTGAATTTCCATAGACGACAATGTTAACGTATGACGAGATTGCTATATGAAAATGATTAAGAAAGTTGAAAACATGGCTCAAAAGTGGGAAATCAACATGCCAGTAATCAACCATATGAAAATAATGAACATGTTGGCCAGCTCAAACTCTTCTTTGGATTGCACCTAGAGAAATCACTGAAAAAACACCAAGATTAGAACATCCAAATACACACAGAATAAACCCACAGCCGCTAAGTTGAAAACAAAAGACCACATATTGGTCTCACCTTTGACCCAGGTGATTACGCCCTCAAACAGGGAGCACTTGAGAAAAAAAATATTTAAAAAATTTCATTGGTACTTGCATTTAAATTGATTAGTGGCATGAGACCATTAGGAATGAAGCTTCTAATACAGATTTCATGGTAATTATTAAAGATACATACTGCATTCAGAATTGCTATTGTTCATGACTTGACAATATAATGGCTGTAAAACACTGTGACACCCTGCTATAAGAACCAATGGACTATTAACAATTTCATTGATAACTTGAGAAAATAAAAATCATTTCTAGCCAATATCTTACTTGTTGTTGTTGTTGTTGTTGTCCGGTGTATTGCTGTAGTTGCATTTTCAGCATGTGAATTACTGAATCTTGTTGCTGTATTTGCATTTGCAAATCTTTGATTTCTTCCGCAGCTTCATTCTTTTTACTCTTTTCTTTCTTCTGTTCTTCTTTCATCTTTAAGCCATAATGTCGCTGTCAAGAAATTTTGCAAACAAAGTCAGCAAACACGTCATTGTAGATAAGTAAGTAACTTTGTCACTCAGTCGGTGAGATTTATCTCAAGGTAATATAAATTATATATTTAATCAAAATCAATACATTCAGAATACGTTTAACAATTTGTTGTACATATGTTGGTAATAGCATGTCTGAAAAATGTGGACACATGGTCAGCTGGAACGAAAATTTGTATCTATTAATAGAGAATTGTATTGTACCATGAAACAAACAAATCTGAATAAGCTTTACCATGATACATGATATTACATAACAATTAAGATTTTAACTCAGCTTCTATAGACCATAATAATATGTTGAACTAATTGCTAAGTTTACATAACAGCATTTGATCGGAGCTGAACTTGTACTCCTCTCACCAATTAACAGGAGATCTGGTGCATTTATTAGGGTTTTATGACATAACTTTGGCAGAATAAGAGAATAAGTCAGACCGTGTTTGTTTATAGCCGAGCCCTTGACTGCTCTTTGTTTAGATGATTGGCTCAAACTAAATCTGTTTACACGGTCATTTCGGTTGGCTTAAGCTGTTGGGCATCAACTAAAATGCTTACATGTAAAAGGAGTAAAAATTTTACCTTCCAGTCATTGTTGACCTTGACGAGTGCATCAGCTAACTGTTGTCTAAAACTTCTTCTAACGACCCCAACTCGTTCGTCATGCATCCTTTCAACATCATCTATCCTCTCATTAACTCTACAGTATAAATCTAATGCTTTTTCTTGTAATTTATTCTCATATTCAGCTTGCATAACTTGTTTGGCTAGAGATAGTTCTCTCTTTAATGTTTTGGCATCCTGAAGATGAAAAACAATGACATTTACATTGTACTAGTGTGTAACATATGAACACATATAGGTAGTGAGAAAATATTTACATATAGCAAACAGTATTTGCCATAACTAAATTTTGGTTTCCCAATTCTTAGTGTTAACTTTGAAAATGTAATAATGACCACATATATGTTTGATCAACTGCCTGTTGATGAAAGAATTGTATTATGATTTACTGCAAACCATACAGTATTTGTAAGAAAATAAGAAAACACCAGTATGCGTGTGCACTCAGTTTTATTTAAAGTAGAAAAATAACCAGTTGAGATGCAGATAAGAGAATTAAATTGTTTCATCGAATGAATACTCAACTGAATGCAGCAACTAACTTTTCAGTTCAAGATAAATCTTAGTGCAGTATATTTATCAACATACAGTATAAAGCAATAAGACTAAATATTGACATATTCTCATCTATATTCAAATGCATCCACTGTAGCCTGATTGATTTATTTACTTTTATGATTTGTATCATACCAGTATTTTGCAAATGAACCAAACTGTCACCAAGAAACACATGTAATTCGCAACAGCTAATTAAGATGATAGGAGGAATTTTTAGATTTAAAACATTTATGAACATTTCGCAATAACGATTTCTAGACATCTCGACCCAAGACACTTTGACCCAAATTGGACATCTCGACCCTGACACCCTCCTGGCATCTCGACCAACTGCATCAACCCGACCCTATCTCAATGTGGCAACGCAAACCTCTATCTAGTTCAACGTTGATAGTGTCGCCCTTGATAACTTAATATTCTCGCGATCTTATACATTGTGCTGTATTTGAACGATCAACATCTATTGATTCGAAACATTGAACCCAGAGATCAAACCGATCCTTAAAACGCAATCCAGTGCAACGGATCAATCCAAAAATGATGTCATTTTCAGGGGTCGCGTGCTGTGAAATGAACAGCGAAAGCAGCAAAAAATAATAAATCAGTGAAACAAACACTGTGGTCTGAGTGAACTAGGAAAAGTATGACGCTATTATTGGGTTGAGGTGGTGAGTCGTATGAAATAGGTGGGTCGAGATGTCTATGGGTACTGGGTCGAGTTGTCCAGCATACAGCAATCACACAGGTTTTATTTGTAACTTTAATAATATATTCCAAAGGTCACTTTTTGTCACTTTCTCACATTTAAAAATATGCAGCCATAGATGACAAAAAACATACAATACAATTGATAACTTACAGATCTGAGTTTAATTAAAATATCTGTCATTTCCTTCAAGTCAACAATTTCCGAGTGTGTAGTTTGCGTAGCCCGGTCTTGACTGAAAAATCCCACTTTTTGTTGATCTGCAATGGAGGGCCTGAAAAGTGAGACAAAATATCACCATGAATTAAATAAATGTTTAGCAATATGCAGCTTTTACTGACTGCCAACAAGACGTGATGGGTAAAACGGTGGATTAATTCCGGGTGGGGGTGTGGGGGAGTTCTTATGATGTGCTAATATTTGGGTTTACTGTGATAATGATTATATGTGAGTAAACGTTCATCAGGCTATTGGAACACATGCACTTCGCCCAACTCTTAACATTATTGAGGAAACCACAGATCCCCGGCGCAAAGTGACGATGAGGAAACATGCATGCTATAATATTTTGATTGGCGAGTGTAGTTAAACGATCAATGTAAACAACTACTTTCAGTGTTATTTTGAAAGGTATTCCATTAAATTCTAAGTATTTTCGCTAGCTAGATAAGTTACTAGTTATATCTAGAATTCACCTGTAGTAATCATCTTCACTTGAGGTTTCTATCCTGGCCAGTATCGAATCTTCAAGAGCCAGCGCCGCTAGCTCTTGGAAAGTCAGGACATCCGCCATATTGGTTTGTTGCTAACCAGAGGTTTTACCCACAATTCTTTGCGAGAGTTATTTGCTTGTAAAACATGTCGCTTAGAGCTAACTAGTATATCTGTTTTCATACACATTAAAGACATTGTGTAATTGAAAAATTGGTATTTAGATATTTTTGTTTCTTTGAAAGAGTGGGCGCAATAAATATGAACAGCAATTTTGAAGTCCAGCAAATTACGTGAGTGAGGTTAGCAACAGATTCAGTCAGATTCAGATTCTGATTCCAGCAACAGATTGTATTACAAGTATTAGTAATAATCATAGTAAAGTACATGTACTAGTTTACTGTGCTACTGTAGTAAAGTCAATAAAATCTGATTTTAATTAAGATCTATGCAATGAATGTTTTTTTTTCAAATATGTAGTTCATTAGTTATTTTTAAAATACTTTATCGCAATATCAAACATTTTTTTTAATTTTAGTTTTGTTATTTATTTACTGGCATGAAATTCACACATACATGATTTAAACAATCAATTTCTTACGTTAATTTAAGTGTAAGAATAAAAATCCTAACTTTATTTCAAAATTATTGCTGTATTTTAATACTGTTGACTGTGTGTGCTCTCTGTTGCTGGAATCTCAACTTGAATATGTGGCAAATCTGTTGCTAACACAATGCTCTCATTTACATAAGGGCAACTTAGGTCTTGTATAAAAGTGACTCATCATGATAATAAGTTGGCAGCCTTTGCTTATGTGACAGTCGTTTTCTGGTCTTAAAGGGAATAAAACGTCATTAGTTTATTTTTTTCTCTTTTTATGTTATACGGTTATCTTTGTATAGCGATTACATTTTGAGTGGAGAACAGAGATAAATACAAAACAAATGTTCGCGGGTAAATATTTGCAAAAAGTTCATTCGCACTAACTTAGAGGTTTCACCAAACATTGAGGAAACTAAACCTAGAATCATGGCGATGGCGACTGACGGTGATGAGCGAGACGACCACAGTCATCGTTCTCGTAAACGCGGGGTAAATTGTGATTTTCCACCACACAGCCGTTTGTTTCTTGTATGTGCCAGGCATCATTCTGAAGACGATATAAAGGGTTACTTCGATCGCTTCGGCGTTATCGAGGATGTGTGGATTGTGCGCGAACGAAATTCGAAGGAAAGCCGTGGCGTGGCTTATGTGAAATTTGCAAAAGCTTCACAGGCTGCGCTGGCTATGGAGGAAATGAACGGAAAGGCACTGGGCAGCGAAACGAAGCCAATCAAGGTGGGTTATTGTTGAATTAGTAATTCCTTCTACGTAATACATAAATTGCGCTCGATAACTATTCATGTTCTGATTATGTTTTTATGGGATATCACATTTAAACAATAAAGTCAGCAACCGTTTTGCCAAATTTTAGCTATTTTTATTTTACTGCATTTTCTCCTTTAAGCATGGCGTTTTGCATTGTATGGCACATTTAGCTTTGAATATACTAATTATGTAGCCAACTTTATGAATGCATTATGTATTATGAGGCTAGGTAAAACATAGAGCTGAAAAAAATAGGTAAGTCAGTGGAATACGTTCTACAAAGGACATACAGTCAGTAAGTTACTTTTTTTCTGCCAGTCTACATGGTTCACTATTAATTAATAGCTATTTCTTCAGTGATGTGTAACGTAGCTTAAACAATGGTTCGACTATGCAACATTTGTGATCCATGCTGTCAATATGTCTCATGTTTTTGAGTCTGGGAAAACTGAAATATTGTAGCATTGAATA